TGATGTAAGTTAAATAGCACAGATTAACAGCACATTATCAAATTGCCTCTGAATGGCAAATTGGTGTGTGTGTGGAGGGGAGGGAGTAATTCAAGCATCTGCATTAGCAGAAGAGAAAGATGCTTTGCTTCTAATTACAAGCCATAGAAGATTTGAAAACCTACACACTACTGATGTAAGTATGCAATACCACACTCAAGACGGTGATGAAACAATCCACAACAAACTAATTGTGATGAAGTTATTATAGTAATATCAATATATAGTTAAAAGCAAGAACAGCAGCCTCTGAAAACCTTTGACCTTGGACAATCACCTGGAAGAATGCAGGAAGAACTAAACCTCCCTCCTCCAAACAGTGACATACTGGCACTTGTACAATATTGCAGGACCTCTGCATGTCAGGGAGACAGCCAGGGGAACAGTAAATTAGCAGCTATAGCAAATTGTTTTGATTTGTAAAAACAAAATCTCTGTAATTTAAAACCCTGACTTACTGGGCTTTAAAACTGCCGATAAGATTGGAAAGACGTGTGTCTTTGGTTTGGTCTTAGATTGTGGACAGTTTGGGTCTGTATTTTGATTGTGCTTCTGAAAGAAGGATGATCAACTCAAGAAATTTCCTCAGAGAAAGGAGGAGTTTGTTCACTCTACACCTCAAATCTAAATTTAAAAGCAGTCTCTGGGCTTACAAAAACAAACAAAGCAGAAAAGAGATTTTTAAAGACATCTAGAACAATAACTCCTTCCTTGCTTGGTGGGTTAGTCCTTACAGAAGCAGGGATGATCCTTCACATGGCCTCTGGGGCCTCTCTGGGACTCCCAGGGATGGACACGTGGTGTCACTGTCGCTTCGGCCTGCCCTCTCCCATTACCTTCACCAGCCAAATCATGGCAGGATGTTGTGACCACAGGAGAATGATGAGTAGACCCTATCTTGTATCTCCGGTCTATTTTGAGTGCCACAACTTCACTATCAATCACTACTGCCCTGAATACAGTAAATGAATTCCAGCCTCAACACAGTTTCAGCAGCACTGTATTCACTGACCTGCCCTCGTCAGCACACACTCTTTCTGCTGTGACTCATTTACCCAGGGACGTCGAGATGGAATCCATTCACAGCTCACCCTCACAGGGTTTCTGCAGGCCATATATCACATGAGATTGCCCGGCTTTCCTGTGAGCAGCTGGTGGATTAGACACTACCTGCATGACCTGCGGGTTAGTAATGCGACTCTCTATGACTCTGTGCCAGAACTTCCTATATTTGTTTTTAGAATGTCTAATTCAACTAATCTTTTGACAGTTTTCAGATTTCATTTTAAATTATAAAATGAAAGACTCCAAGCTTGAAACATTCCTCTGAAATCAGGGAATGGAGAAAATTCCTCAAAAGTGGATATGACATTAGAGAAAAACCATCACTACAGTTATTTTTAACATTGATTTTTGAATAACGCAACAGACTGACTCATTAAGGATTGCTCTAAGAATGAACAATCTTAGTTTATCAACAGTTCTAAATTCTCTTCATTAATTTAGGATTCTGCCAGTGGTTTGACAATGATATGTTGAATAGAATTTAAGTGATACTACGAAAGAACTGTCTAACTGAGGAACACCCAGGACTGCTTGGTCACTGACCACTGGCATAGGGGCTACTGCTCCGGAGCACAGCCAGCCCTCAGGGGTCTCCACTGACCCAGGTGACTGAGGGTTCCCAGGCTGCTGTGCTATCCAATGCAGAACAGATGACTAAGTACCCACTTCCCCCCCCCACCTTTTTGTAGTATTTTTACTAGATTCTAAATTTTTTAATTGGTTTTCAAACAAAATTTGTAGACATTGTGTTTTACACATTTCTTTATTCCTATCATTTTTTTCCTTTTAAGCAGTTCTATTCCTCATCTGTTTCAATGCAGTGTACATGATATTTCCCCTCTTTTCTCAGTTTCCCCCCAACCCCAATGTCAGTCCTGTTTTATAATAGTGGCACCATGCAGTATTTGTCCTTTTGTGACTGAGATATTTCACTCAGCATAATGTCCTCCAAGGGTCACCCATTTTGTATAATATTTCATGAGTTCCTTGTTTTTCAGTGCTGTAGAGTATTCCATTGATAGCCTCTCTATCCATTCGCTTGTTTATGGGCACCTGGGCTCTTTTTGTCTCCTTGTTATGGTGAACAATGCAGCAATAAACATGGGTGTACATATTGGGTGGCAGTTCTGGTTTCTTTAGGGTATATTGCTAGTAGTGCAACTGCTGGGTCAAATGGTATTTCTATTTCCAACTTTTTGAGAAAGTACCATAATGCCTTCTATAGTGGTTGCAACATTTTACACTCCCACCAAGAGTAAATAAGAGTTCCAGTTTCTTCACAACCTCGCCAACATTTGTTGTTTGCTGCTCTGTTGAATTTTGCTATTATTACTGGGTCAGATGATATCTCATAGTTGTTTTGATTTGCATCTCTCTTAGAGCTAGGGATATTGAATATTTCTTCATGTGCTTGTTGGCCATCTGAATGTCTTCTTCGGTGAAGTGTCTGTTTATATCCTTTGCCCATTTTTCAATTGGATTGTTTTCCTTTATCTTGTTGTGGTGCCTATCGAGTTTTTTTTAAGGAAAATTTTTATTTTACACTAGTTTACTAAGAAAGTTCATATAAATTGCTTTTTAAACCAGAAGTATTCACTATTTTAAAATAGAAGTGAAAAAAAATGCCAGTATTATCTTTAACAAAATTAATTTCCTGGACTACCTTTGTGAATGGACCATAGGGATTTCCAAAGCACTACCTAGAAAATTTAAAGAGTGCTGGTGGCCTAATGGGTAAGGAGTTGTGCTGCCAACACAAAGGCAAGCAGTTCAAATCTACCAGCTGCTCTGCAGAAGAAAAATGGGCAATCTCCCGTGTGATAAATATTGTGTCAGAAAACCCAACAGAAGTCAGTTATGAGTTGATTCTAACTCAATGACAAAGGATTGAGTTGGGAAATAAACTTCATGGGGTCATTATAATTAGCATTCAATATACTAATATTTACTCCAATTTCTGCCCCCAACCATCTACCATATATACACACCTCCACCATCACCTGGTCTACTGTTTGTCTCTGTCTTTCATACTTTCCTTATAGCCAAACTCCAAGAAAAGTCTAAAGGTAGTATATCTCATTTTTAAAAAAATCCACATTAACTTGTAATTCCACTCTAACCTGGTCGCTGCACCCACTCTTCTACTGAGATTATTTCCATGAGTGTTCATCCCAGAAACATCTGGCTGACCACGTCCTCCTCCTGGAAGCAGCCCCGTCTCTCGGCACACGTGATATCATGCTCCTCCCTCTTCCACTTATTTCCAGTACAACATTAGCTCAGTGTCAATTGCTGGTCTCATCTTCCTTTTAAACATGATGGTATTCTTTAGAGTTTATTGTTTATATCGTCTTTTTCTGTAATCATTAATCGGCTTCGGGGGTTATTCTGAGTCAGGTCCTTTACATTTGTCTGCGTGGCATGGACTTCGTGGCATGGACTTCGTGGCATGGACTTGCACTGCTAACCCAGAGGCAAGTGGTTCGAATGCACCAGCTGCACTGCAATAGGCTGATGGGCAGTCTTCTCTTGTGCGATTTACATCCTCTGAAAACTTTCTGTCCGATCAGCTATGAGTCAGTTTCTAATTGGACAGCAATGAGTGAGCAAGCCAACTGAAATTGATCTCTAACTACAAAGTAGAGATTGTTCCTCCAGTATATAGATCGAGAACTTTGGTGGCCTAGTGGTAAGCAGCTGCACTGCAATCCCAAAGGCACACATTCAAATCCACCATCTGCTCCATGTGAGAAGGATGGGCCATCTCCTCTTGTGTGATTAACTGCCTCTGAAAACTCACTGGACAGTCAGCTATGGTCAGTTCTGACTCAATGGTACTCAACAACAACAACATAAATGGGTACAAAAGTCAAAACTCGGAGAAGTAAATGACCAGCTCGAAGTAACAACATGAGAAAGAAGTAAAGGGTAACATGGTGAGTACAATCTCTAATACGATGTTTTACCCCTTTATCTTACAGAAAGCAGACAAAAATCTTATTTCTAGAACAAAGGTTTAAGAATTTAACCATATTACAATCTTAACAACACAGACCTTAAATAAACTCTGATGCAACAGTCTGTGATGAGTTAGCTGTTGACCCAAAGGCCACACAATCTCGGGGGTTCAAATCCACCAGCGGTTCTTCTAAGGAAATACGGACAGTCCTCCATGCAGAACTCTGACAGTCTCGCCTGGAGGAAGTTATACTGCACCCACAGACTGAGATGCTCTGGTGGTCTGAATCCATGGTGGTCTGAATCCACAGGCGACTCCTTGCAAGAAAGACAGACAGTCTCCTCTTGGGGAATTTACAGCTTGGAAACCCAATGGGGGGGGTCTGTCTGCTAAGAGTTGGTTCTGACTTGAAGACAGTGAGCGTTTTTGGCTTTCCATTAAAATTTGCTGTTGTTGTTATGTAGCATCAAGTCAGAACCAACTCACAGTGGGTTTTCAGAGGCTGTGAATCACATGCAAGGAGGCTGCCCATCTTTTCCCCATGGGGCAGATGGCAGATTTGAACCAAGTGCCTTTGGGTTAACAGCACAGCTCAGCTCCTTACCACTAGGCCACCAGAGTTCCCTGTCAAGACTCACAGCCTCCTAACCCCCTGGAAAGTCTCCATGAGTTGGAATCAACAATGAGTCTGCATTTTTGCTTCATTTTGTGTTATACCTTTAAAGTAGACGGTTCTCTTACAATCTCGTATATTCAACTTAATTCCATGTCTGTGTAGAACAGTAAAGTGTGGCCTTCCTCTCTGCGTAATAAGAACAACCTCAGCGAAGGAAGCATGACTACAGAAGACAAAAACCGGGATATTCTGTGTTCATCTTTTGATGAACCAAACACCTTTAACACAATACAAATCAGTTGTTTATTAACTCTTTATTACCTTTGCTTCATTATGTCGTGCACTTTCCCATGCTGGATACACTGTTCTTCCAACTCATCATTTCTTCTCTGTAACTTTTCTAGTTTGTCATCTGTGTATCTTTTTTCTTGACTGAGCTGAGCAATTTCAGATCTAGAGAGGAAGCAAATATGGAGATTACAGGTGTAAATATATTCAATTACTCCCCAAACCTCCTAAACTGGTCAGTCAATTCTGTCCTATCATGACTCTACAGAAGACTACAGAACTTTCCCCATAGCATTTACAAGACTGTGTATCTTCCAAAAGGGGTGCTGGTGGTCTAGTGGGTAAAGATCTCCACTGCCAATCCAAGAGCAGGCAGTTCGATTCCTTCATCTGCTCTGTAGGAGAAAGATGGCCAATCTTTTACTCACATGCGCTTTTCAGCCTTTGAAAACCTGCTTCAGGGCCAGTTGGTTTTGACTCGACAGCACATAACAACAACAATAACATATCTCCACAGGGATTGTAAACTGGAAGGTTGGTGGTTTAATCTCACCAACCATATTATTCTCTCAAGCAGTGGCTGATGGAATCAAACCACCAACCTTCCAGTGAACAAGTTGCTCTTTCTGAATTCTATGCTTAACGATAACAGTGTAAATAAAAAAATCAATTTACATACAAAGAAAAATTTCAGAGATTACAAAATGCCCAGTAGAAGGATATAGGAATTTTGGATATTTAAGTAGTAAGTAAATAAAACATAACATTAGATGGTGGCACAGTGGTTGAAGGTCTCTAATGTAAACTGAAAAGTCAGAGGTAACAACAGATGCTTTGTAGGAGAAAGAGGTGGCTCTCTGCTTCCATAAAGATCACAGCTGTGAGAAGTTCTATGAGGCAGCTGGCCTCTGTCCTATAGGATCATAATGAGTTTGGATCAACTCAAGGAAATGAAGTTAATAGTATCAGTTAAGTATCGATTAATAAAAAACAACTGATTCTAGTAGAGAACTCTAGTGGCCTTGTGGTAAGAAGCTCTGCTGCAATCTCAAAGACACATGGTTTGAATCCACCAGCTGCTCCAAGGGAGAAGGATGGACAATCTCTTGCCATGAGATTAACTGCCTTTGAAAATACACTGGAGAGTCAGCTATGGCTTGGTTCCGACTCAATGGTACCCAACAACAATTCTAGTAGAAATGGCTTCTTAAGAAAAACACAAAAATAATAATAATGCTAACCCCTCCCCTTTTAAGGGTAAGTATTCACTTAACAAATATAGTGTCCATTACAGGCCAGCCGCTCTGGTCACGTAGTGGGAAATTTGGCATTGATAATAAGTAATGGTTATGCCACATGATTATGATGAGTATAATTTATATCACTAAGTTGTATACATGAAAAAGATTAAATCGGCAAATGCTATATTTTTACAGCCAGGGTCTTTGCAATCACTTGCTATGCATCAAAGAGTTGGACAATGACTAGGGAGCATAAAAGAAGTATTGATGCCTTTGAGCTGTGGTTGCTGGAGAAGAGTATTGAATGTACCATGGACTGCTAGGGAAACAAACAGATTCATCCTAGAGAGGGTTAAACCAGGATGGTGCTTGGAGGCAAGGATTCTGAGGCTTCGTCTGACATACTTTGGACATGTTGTAAAGAGGGACTGGTCCTTGGAGAGGGACATCGTGCTTGGGAGGGTGGAGGGACAGCGCAGGAGGGGAAGACCCTCTATGAGATGGATTGATTCAGTGACTGGGGTAATCGGGATGGGTGTGTCAGAGGCACTGAGATTGGCACAGGACAGAGCAGAGTTTAGGGCTGTTGTACATAGGGTCGCTATGAGTCGCAAGCGACTCGATGGCACATAACGACAACAAGAAGAACAATAACAACAACATATTTTTACAATAAAGGAATGGCTGTTGATGCTATTTAATGTACAATTAAGTACCTCATGACAGAGCCCTGGTGACTTAGTGGTTAAGAAGCTATGTTGCCATCCCAAAAGCATGCAGCTCAAATTCACCAGTTCCTCCAAGGATGTGCAATTTCTTCCCATGTGATTTACTGCCTCTGAAAACCCACTGGAGGGTCAGCTCTGGGTCAGTTCCTATCCAATGGTACACAACAACAATAATAAGCACCACACTGTTAAAGGAGAAAGCCTTGACCTGACTTCTATATCAGAGAGTCATTTGTCTTAATGAAGTCACTAGTTTAACAGTACTTTGTGAGATCAAACACAGCAGTCCTCTGGCCATTAACCCTAAATAGCAATAAATGCTTTCATTTTTTGAAAGTTGTTTCTTCTGCTATTTGCTTCCTTATGTATAAATATGTTTGAACTGCTATCTCTTAGTCTAGCAATTACAAATTCTCTACTGACTAATACAGAGAGATATAAAAGGGACATAAAATTCTCATGTACTCCCCATTCCCTTCCCTCCAGCTCCACATTATCCATGTAATCACCAGTATGTCACATTTGGGGTTAAATCACTCTCGGTATTTACACTGTAATGACTACACAGACACTGCTTTGTGCTGTGTAAGTAGACTATTAGGATGGCATTTGTACTTGTGTACATTTCCTTCCCCTGGCCCTCCCTTAACAGACGGCCTTTAGTGCAGGGCGAGGGAGAGGTGAGCCATCTTTTCCAATGTGGAGACTCTAAACCATCGATCTTCCACTCTTACCACTGTTTCTCAGAAGGAAGAGGATCTCTCCAATTTTTTTGCTGCCCACATCAGCTCCCAGTAGCCAGGAAAATGGAGCCTCACTTTCCCAAAGGCAGACAGCCTAGTAGTGCCTCTATTTTAACTCCCAGGCCCTATTTCATCCAGGCCCTGCTGGTGAATCCATTGTGATAGATAGTCCATAGGCTGCTTCTGGATAGGACGGGGCAGTCAGATGCATGGAATGAGGACAGAAGCATCGGTTTTGGTTACAGCCATATGTCTCATACTAACCCTGAGATTTTTCTGGAATTTTGAGAACAGATAAGCTTGCTTTACATATATGCATCCCCTGTACAAGGGAGCTCTGGTGGCCTAGTGGGTAAGAAGTTGCACCGCCAGCTCCAAGCAGTTGGTTCAAATCTACCAGCTGCTCCGACAGAGGAAGATGAGCACTCTCTTCCCTTGTGATTACCAGCCTCTGAAAACCTGTGAGAGGGTCAGCTATGACTCAGTGGCATGTAACAACAACAACATGCCCTCTTCAAGCACTTAGGTCTCACTTGACTCTCCTAGTCAAGCTCTTCCCCCAAACTCCTTTCTGTCTTCACAAAATTCATTTAGGATGACAGATATCTCATTTGGTGATAGCTGATGTCTCTCACAAAATACACTACCTCATCAGTGTCTTAGATAATTGTGCCAAATTTAAAAATCAAATCTATGTCTTAGTGGTAAAACCAAAAACTGTAATGTTCATCAGAGAAAAACTAGGGACCAACTGTTGTTGTTAGGTGCCACTGAGTCACATACGACTCATAGCTGACCCTCCAGCAGATATGACATGAATAGACTTCCAGGCATAATGAAAAAACTATAACAAGGAGAGGATAAAACAGACACCCTCTAAAAATCAAATCCTTACACACATTAAAAATATTTATCCAACATGGTAAAAAAGGAAGCCCTCAGCGGGAACAGAGGGGGAGGGAATATTTGGCATTTGACCCATCTGATAAGGGACTCACACCTAAAATTTACTCCAGCATCTCAACTAGGAAAAGGCAAACAGCCTAATCGTGAAATGGGCACAACACATGAATAGACACTTAATCAAGAAGGAATTTAGATGGCAAACAAACATATGAAGAAATATTCAAAATCTCCAGTTCCTAGAGAGATGCAAATCATAGCAACTATGGAGTATCACCTCACCCCAGCAACAATAGCAGAGTTCAACAGAGCAGCAAACAAAAATGCTGGTGAGAATATGGAGAGATTAGAACTCTCATTCACTGATGGTGGGAATGTAAAATGGTACAACCATTATGGAAGGTTGTCTTGTGCTTTGTTAAAATGTTAGAAATATCACTTGACCCAGCCATCCTACTACTGGGAATATACCCTAAAGAAACCAGAGCTGTGACAAATACAGATGTATGTACATCTATGTTTATGGCAGCATTATTCATAACAATAAAGAGATGGAAGCAGCTCAAGTGTCTGTCAACAAAATGAGTAGGAAAAACTGTGGTACAGCCACACAATGGAATATTATGCAGCACTGAAAAACCATGAACTTATAAAACACTACACAGCGTGGATGACTCTGGAGACATTATTTTGAGTGAAATATCTCAGTCACAAAAGTACAAATACGGCATAGGACCATTGTTATAAAAATATTACTGTCATGGGGAGAGGGAAAGCAAGGAAAGAACGGAAAATGAGAGAAGGGAAGGACTATCTATGGTGAATTGATGACTAGACATTGTGTGTATGAAAATCGACAATCTGGAACAAGACGTGCATTACAAAGTGAATTGGGGGCGAGGAAAAGAGGGAGGAAAAGGAATGAAAGAAAATACACCCTTTCTGTAAACTTTCATTAAAATTACAATTTTAAAAAGTTGCTTCTTAACTTTAAAAATACTCAAAACAAACAATCTATTGTCGTTCACTTTCCCCACTACCCCATCTCCTCATGTTCCACTGTGTTACCATTTAGAATTGAGAGCTGAAAAAGAAAACCTCTTGCATATTGTAAGAGAAATAGTTTGCAGCTGAATTACTTGGGAGTACTATCTGATATGAAAGTAGACTCAATGTATACTCATTTCTCCCCCAAAAAGGACTCCTCCCTCATTCAAGACAGTGTTCTCTTTGTGGTCAGGCTGGGACCTAAACTGCTAAGGGAAATTTTACCTTACCAGCTGTTCAGCCCAAGGACTGTCCTGCCTTCATGTGTATGGAATAATCTTTCAGGTTAATTCACCTCCTCCTTCATTTTGCTTTTATCTGAGGGTCAAACGTAACTTCAAAGAAAGCCTGCCCTGATTAAAGCTCTCATTTCTCAATGTTAATACATAGTTGGAAACTTCATTAGGCCATGATTGCACTTTGGGTTTCATCTATTTGGTTTTTTTAAGACTCTAAATTACACAGAAGGAGAATTGCCCGTTTTTTTTCCCCTCATGGAGCTG